GTTTATATTAATAAAAATAATTAACTAATTAATTTACAGATAAATAAATATATATATATATATCTTTTTATTAATTATTTAATTAATAAATAATATTAAATAAGTTAATTAAAATAAATAAATAAACTTGTTATATTTTCTTAAAATATAAATTAATAAATTAAATACAAATAGGAAAAAGTTAATGTAAATAAATGTAAATAAATAAATGTTTAAATAAAATAAATAATAATTATTTATTTTAATTGATTAATTAATAATTAATTAGTTAAAATAAATAATTACCCTAGCAAAACAACTAAATCTACTCAACAAATTATTTAAAAGGGTTTATCAGGGTTTAGGGTTTAGGGTTTAGGGTTTAGGGTTTAGGGTTTATCTGCAGACAACATTAGCCAAGTGGATTGCGGCAGAGAGCGGCGCCAGCTTCTTTGAGGTAAGGCCAGCTAATAAACCCTAAACCCTAATAAACCCTAAACCCTAATAAACCCTAAACCCTAATCAACCCTAAACCCTAAACCCTTGCATATTCATTAGAACCTATAAACTCTAAACTCTAAACCCTAAACCCTAAACCCTAAACCCTAAGGTCGTTTTCAAAAGGGTTAAGAGTTTAGGACTTGGTGTGTAGCAATTGACGGCTCAGGGTTTAGGGTTTACTAGGGTTTAGGGTTTATTAGGGTTTAGGGTTTAGGGTTTAGGGTTTAGGGTTTTTTCTACAGGTAACTCCGTCTTCAATCATCAGCAAATTTCATGGAGAGACCGAAAAACTTATCAAGGCCCTCTTTAAAGGCAAGTAAACCCTAAACCCTAAACCCTAAACCCTAAACCCTAAACCCTAAACCCTAAGCCCTGATAGTAAACCCTAAACCCTAAACCCTCCTCCCTGCAGCAAACTCTAAACCCTAAACTCTCATCTCTGCAGAAAGACCTAAACCCTAAACCCTCGTCTCTGCAGCAAACCCTAACCTATAAACCCTCGTCTCTGCAGCAAACCCTAAACCCTAAACCCTCGTTCTTGCAGCAAACCCTAAACCCTAAACCCTAAACCCTTTGTATTTGTGCAGTTGCTGAACTTGAAAGCCCTGCAATACTTTTCATTGACGAAATTGACTCTCTGCTGGGCAAACGGCGCGACGTAAACCCTAAACCCTAAACCCTAAACCCTCAGCATGCCTCTTCACTTGTTGTACTAAGCCCATAGGCACACGTGCGCAACGGTCTAGGGTTTAGGGTTTAGGGTTTAGGGTTTGTGTTTCAGAAGGAGGATGACGCATCCATTCGAATGAAAAACCAACTCCTGCAGATGATGGTGAAGCTGCTGCTGCTGTTGCTGCTGCTGTTGCTGCAGCTGCTGCTGCTGTTGCTGCTGCTGTTGCTGAAGCTGTTGCTGCTGCAGCAACATGTGCAGTGGTTCAGCGGTTTGCTAGGGCTTCATTCTGCTGCTGCTGCTACTGTTGCTACTTCTGCTGCTGCTGCTATTGCTGCTGTTGCTAGTGTTGTTGCTGCTGCTGCTATTGCTGCTGCTGCTATTGCTGCTGCTGCTGCTGCTTCAGGATGGGCTCGGCAGCAGCAACAGCAGCACCCTCATCGTAATCGGAGCAACGAACAGGCCAGATATGCTTGATGATGTACGCTGCTGCTGCTGCTGCTGCTGTTGCTGCTGCTGCTGCTATTGTTGCTGCTGCTGTTGCTGCTACTGCTGCTGTTGCTGCTGCTGTTGCTGTTGCTGCTGCTGTTGCTGCTGCTGCTGCTGCTGTGGGTGCCGCATCTGCTTTGTTAAATACGCCGCTGCTTCCATCTACAGACAGCGTCATCAGGGTTTAGGGTTTAGGCTTGTTAGGGTTTAGGGTTTAGGGTTTAGGGTTTAGGGTTTGCCTGCAGGCAGCAGTGCGCCGGCTGTCTCGGCGGGTGTTGGTACCTCTGCCTGATGAAGAGACGAGGGCTGCTATGATCAAGCAAGTCAAGGGTTTAGGGTTTAGGGTTTGTTAGGGTTTGTTAGGGTTTGTTAGGGTTTAGTAGTAGAGAGTATAGGTCTGGAGAGCTTAGTATCAGGGTTGAGGGTTGAGTGGTTTGGGTTTATTAAGATTTATTCCTTGCTAGGGTTTAGGGTTTAGGGTTTAGGGTTTGATGTGGGGTGTATAGGCACCTATTAGATGCGGAGACACCAGGAGGCTGCGCCTTGTCTGATGAAGTACGCAAAAATAATTTCTTTTTATTCTTGTTTATTTATTTAATTTAAATTAATTAATTTATTATATATCTACAGATATATATGTTACTTATATATATATATATATATATATAGATATACATATATATATATATATATAGATATATATATATATGTCTATTATTATACTTATCTGTTTTTATTTATCTTTTATCTTTTAATAATTCATCTATGTGCATATTTTATTGTTTATTGTTTTGTTTATTATTACTTTAAAAATATAATTAATTTGTTTATTTTTTATCTGTCTTTTATTTATATCTTTAT